GGGCGGCGGGCGGATTACGGCGAGCATGTTCTGGCCATGTCTCGACTTTGAGGGCCCCATTTTCCGGCGGAAAAAATTGCAATAAAATAAAAAATGTACAAAAAATGGCTGAATTAGATGTATGTATGTACTGGATGTGTACCATTTTGTGGTGGATGTTTAATTTCTTGTGTTCGTCGGATAAAAAGAGAGTGGTGGAAAAAAGTTATGTGGAAATTAATTAATGTTCGAAAGAAGAAAGGTTTTGAGTACTACTTTTTTATTTAACTGTGTTGTCCACATTTGAAAGCAACCTAAAGAGTAAACTCTAAGAGTTGGATTGAGTTGTGTTTTTTTCGATCCGAATTGGGTTGGGTCTCGAGTTCAATCTCTAAAGAATCCGGTCAATCCAATCCAACCTGAATTTATGCAAATATGTATATTTTAATAATAATAATAATATATTTATCTTTAATGTTAACCATTCATTTAGTTTTAATCATAACTTTCCGTCCACTCATTTAAAGTTTTCATATTATCTTATTCTATTTTGTACCTTAATCACATCCGTCCATTTAGTTCTAATCCTAATTCCTCGTCATCACGATAATTAAAATTAAAAAAAAAAACACAATCCGACAACCCAACCAAAAAATATTGAATTGGGTTGACCATCCAATTCAAACCCGACGGTTCCTATATATGACCAACCCAAAAATTCAGGTCAATCCCAAAACTACTTCTAACCTGACATAACCCAACCCGTGAACACTCCTAATCAGAGATGCCCACCTCCAAGGGCGAAACCACGTTTAGACTAGAGGGCACATGTCCACTCAAAAGGATGTTAAATACAATATAGTTTATTTATTTAATCACTAATTATCATTCAATGTGTTGGTAATTTATGACTCCCTCAGTGAAGACATACCTTTTTAAAGTTTAAATTTATATTTGTCGTATGGTATAGTTTGAGTGATTTGAGATCTGGACAAATATCTTTGAGGTATCGTCCTCGAGAGAGAAATTTATGTTGGAACGAATTTTATGGTGAGAAAAAATTTTGTTAGAAAGAAATTTAAAGAAAAAAACTGGTGGGGGATATAATTTTTTTCTTCTTCTAAAATTTCAAGGAGAGACATTATATTGATTTCTTTTAGACAAATTACAGTGAGAAAAAATTTTAAAAGAGCAAGTACTGTAGTATTAATAAATTTAAAGAATTTAAAGACATAAATTAAATAGTGGTAGTCTTAAAAATTTATTGAAAAATTATGTAATATTTTCAATACCTATTTCCTCCGTATGTACTATTTTATTGTATGGTCCCAAATTATTCCCTGATCTGTGTGCATTGTATGTGTTTGCAAGCAATTTACATGTGTATAGTGTTAGATAATTATTAGATAGTTGATCTTCAATCAATCGACCAATCCGACGAAACATTTGACTTTACATATCAGACTTGAGCATAACTTAAAACTAAATTATTGGTCGTAGGGTTTGAATCTTGTCCTTTTAATCAACATTCCATAATTTCATGAACAATTGCAATAGAATCTATAGCCATAGGTAAAAGAAAATCAAAATTAAAAAAGAAAACATAAATATTTCACTACAAGAAATCACAGTTTATGTGGTGTCGTTTTAGCGACACATCATGTATATTTCCACTAAAAATAATATTCAGCGACGTCGTCAATTGACAGTATCATTAAATAAGCGTTTTTAGCGACATGGCAAGGCGTACAGCGACACGTGGTTGACTCGATTGTCGTTTGAAAATATTTTGATCTCTAATATAATCTCAAACATCAAACTATCATAAATCTTTTTCAACTATACCGTTCAGACAGGGGACGAAGATGCAATTCTAATCATAATGTATTGAAACCATATGTAACCTTGGTTTAACCAATATGGACCAATGGATTTTTCATAATTCTCTAAGTTCAATGTATTGATAAATGAGTATTAGGTAGAAGCAATTCCGATCTATAGGTTAGATTACGATGATCAGATCAATAAATTTTTGTACATAAATATTGTACTATATCATATTTGAGATTAATTGTAAAAACGTGATGTATACTATATATTTTGATGTCGATGTTTCTTTAAGGTGTTCATAAAAACTAAGGGCCCGTTTGATAACAATTTCTGGTTTAGATTTTAAGCTTTTCTTCAAAAAAAAAAACAAAAATCATATATGTTTGATAACTGTTTTTGTCTGTTGTTTTTAAGAAGCAAAACAACAAACATATTTGTTAACCATTTTTTGTTTTCCGTTTTTTAAAAAGTTGGAAAATTGAAAATATATATTAGATAGATGAAATTCTATGTAGAGTAGAGATGACAATGATATGGGACGAGAGTGAGAATGTCCTCTTCTATTCTCGTGCTCGTAAAAATTTGTTGTCCTCCGTCTCCACCTTGTTATTTGGTCCGAGAATCGAGATCTAGTTCAAAGAATCCTTATTTGGGGATGGGATATTCGCTAGAAAAATTACTGGTTTTATAATTAATTTTAATTATTTTTAGAATTTAAAAATAAAAATTGTAATAAATATATATTAATTATTTTTAGAATTATTATTTATTTGTATAAATAATTAGTTTTAAAAAATGTTTAAATTTTTATTCATAATTTAGTAAATATGTCAATAAAAAATATATTGATTATTATAAAATAGAATCATGAATTTGGTCATGACATGAATTTTCCATTCTTGAAGCGCGGACCTGACCATACGGGAATTTTTGTCATCCCTAATGTGGAGACATGAAAATACAAGTTTAAAGCGAATAAAAAAAAATTTGAAAGAGAAATTTTACAGAGATAAAAGAAAAAGATCTAAAAAAAAGATATTGAAAGAAAATTAAAGACAACAAGGGAAAAGTTTTAGAGAAAAAGAGTAAAGTTAAGAGGAAAAGATATGTTAAAGAAAAAAAAAAGAAATTAGAAAGAAAAAGAAAAATGATAGTGAGAAAAAATTTAGAGATAAAAACAAAATTCGAAATATACTTGTTCGAGAAAATGAATAAATACAAAGATAAATAAAAATTATAGTAAATGAAAATTAAACGAGAAAATAAAATATAATTTTTAGATGAAAAATAGACTAGTAAGAGAAATAAAAGTTATAAAAATGAAATTTTAAAAAGAGAAAAAGTTCGAAAAAATACTAAATTTTTAGAGGAGAAATGAGAATGGTTTGTTATAAAAAAAAGAAAAAGATGATAATATATATGTAAAAAAGTTAGAGAGAGATTAATGATAAATATTTAAAATATTAAAATTTTAGAGAGAGAAAATTAAAATTTTTAGAAATTTATTTATGGAGAAAAAGATTTTAGAGTGAGAGAGATTTTTTTGAAGAAAATATATTAAAAAAAGGTTGAGTATTAAAAGAAAAAAAGAGTTTTTTGAAAATAAGAAATTTATTTTTAAAAACTACTTTTTTTAATTTAATATAATTTCAAAATACTTTTTAAATAGAAAAATTAAATTGATTATCAAACCCTCACAATTTTTAAAAACTAAAAACCAAAACCAGAAACAGATTATGATCGCCGCGTTAAATCTTACTTAAGAAATCTTTAACGAGGAAGATTGATTTGACAACTCAACATTCCTCTTTAGTACCACGAATAGTTCAGCATATTTAATTCATTGACAATTAGTGTACGTATAATATATATTTCCAAGCAATTTATATGTGTATAGTGTTGGACATTATTTTTATTTTTTATTATTATTTTTGTGTGAATACAACAAGTAGAAGTTTTATTTATTTATTTATTTTTGGTGTGAATACAACAAGTGGAAGTAACGGATTCAAACTCATGACCTATTGGTTAGAGACATGTATCAATTATCGTTGAGCTAATTCATATATGTAATATAATGTTGCACGATTAATGGGCTCCTTAGGTCCATCCATAATTTTGGTTCGGTTTAATTTGAAATTGCATAGATTTTAGAAAATGGAAATTTGAGGTAGTGACTAGATATTGTAACTTTCACGACCTTATTTTTAGTTTTCTTAAAACGTCTCATACCAATGAAAATATTGTCTCACAATACGATTTTCTTATTATCTCGCCAATGACTTTTTTTTTTTTGTAGCATTTCCAACAAAACTAATTGATTCTTTCTCAACTATGCAACTGAGACTCGATCCTAACCTAGAGAAACTTTAGTATTTCACATCGTAATATTTTTTTATAAATTTTCTAAGGTCAACATTTTGATATCTCTTCAATGGCCACACTTTTAACCTTTTAAGTGAGCAAAATATATGAACTCAGCCCTGAAAATCACTTAATATGACTTTAGAAAGTCAAAATCTAATTGCTTTAAATTGTTACCAGAAAAAAAAAAAAGGGAAAGAAAAGTAAAGAAACCATCAGCCCATGGTAATGAAATATTCGTAAATTATCGGAGAGACAAAGATAATTTTTCGAATTTAACTGACAAATTATGGAATGACAATTGCCACT